GCCAGGCTGGGGACCCAGGAAACCCCCCACGAGCTGAGAGCGACTCCCCGGCCGACGGGCACGTGGGAATCTGCTCATCGCCTGCCGAGCCCCGAGAGCGCTCTGAGCCCCGGGGTTCCCCCCTTTGCCGGCAGCCACAGGCTGAGAAGAGGCCGCGTTCCCGTGTGAAAGGCGTGTGGCTGACGGGACAAAGGCCCAGCACAGCCACGCGTGACAGGCAGAGCCTGCCTCCTGGCGTGAGGACCCCTGGTCAATGCACACCCACCTGGCAGAGACCGGCGGGAGGCTGTGCCCCGAGGAGGGGCAGGGAGGTGACAGGATGTATCTGGGGGAGATGCAGGTGGGAGAGGCAGCTTGCACAGCCGTCAGGTGCGGGGACCCTGCTGTAAGCCAGGCGCCCCTCCAGGGGGCGCTGAGACGCCGCCCAGGGAAGCTCCGCTGGGCTCGGGGTCTCCGGTGACGCCGGGAACTGAAACCTGAGCCACAGCCCCATGCGCGTCTGTGCAGCCCCGGGCAGAGGTCCTGGGTGTTCGACAAACGTGTCAGCAGCTGCCTGTTACCTGGCAACACAGCGCCAGACACACGGGTGTTCAGAAGGATCTGCCAGGCCGCTGTGCGTGCAGTGTCCGTGTGAGCGCTGGTCCCTAAGGGGCTGAGGCGGGGCTGCCTGCAGCCAAGCGCACGGAGGACCTCTCTCCAGCCTGGGGGGCCACAGGCTCCGGCGACACAGGCCTGCGCCTGGAGGTGATGCCAGAGAGCCATCCTACCCGTCTCTCTAAGATGCACCGCATCCACAGCGACTCGGTCATTCAGGGGCACGAGAGCACTCGAGGCCCGGTGCCTGGCAGCCTGAGTCCCTGCCAGTCCGAGGGCACGTCTACACCGTCTGCACAGGAGGCTGCTGCCAGGAGAAAGGCGGGCGCTGTCTGCCCCCCCAACGCCCGGGCAGGGCTGCTCGACGCTGCCTCCCGAGCTTCCTGCGGCGAGGACTGTCCATGTCTGAGAAAAGATGTCCTCGCCCGTCTACCTTTCACCTAAACTAAGCCCCCAGATAAAACGCTCCCGACAGTCCGAGCATGTTTCCTAGCCGGTAGCATGTTTGACGGATTAAACGGGGCTTCGTTTGTAAACTATTTGTCTACGAGGTAGGAGAAATAATGACTCAGTCCTGATGCCTGGTTATCCGTCATAAAAGCACACAATTGTACCAAATACATAAAACGTCAGCGTTCCCAGCACATTTCCCCGTCCCCTTAGTAACTTTAAAGGCTCCTTCGTGTTATTACACTGATGGCCGGGCGACGGCATCTGGTGCATCTTAATAACAGCTCTTAATGGTGAGAACATGAGGGACCTGTAGGTCATTCTTCCGATTCCCAACATGTTAGACAGTTTAAGCCATAACCACGACGTTTGAGGAGAATTCTGCAAATGCTTGGCCCCGTCCTTAGCTGCCGTGGTCACCTGACCACTTACTGTCAGGCTGTGAGGCTGTGACGTTTGAGGAGAATTCTGCAAATGCTTAGCTGCGGTGGTCACCTGACCACTTACTGTCAGGCTGTGAGGCTGTCAGCCTCGTCCTCACAGAAGCCCGCCTTCTCTTTCCCGGTGTTATTTCTGCTTGTTTTACTCCACCTGCTATTTTCCCAGACGACCGGAGCCCCTAACCAGGTGGGAGGAGGGCTGCTCCCCGCTTCGGGGCGCCTCCCCCAAGGGGAACTGTGCTGTCAGGGGAGGAAGCCCCCCCGAACCCCCGGCTCACAGGGCGCATCGGGGTCGTCGGAAACACTCATCTTGAGAGATGCCCTCCGTCCCGGGACCTTTCAGAATCACAGAATCCCTAAAGCGGGGCCGGGCAGCCCTCCCCGAGGCACCCATGCCGCCCGGCAGTCACTGCCGGCAGGAG